ACAGACATCCTCCGGATTCTCGAAACATGACTTGCAGGTCTTGGTCATCCAATAAGACCTTGACTTCGTTGTCAAAGCCAACATGATCCTCATTTGTCAGACCTTGATATTGCTGTCAAGCACCACAAGATCCTCGCGCGCTACAAAAGTCTTGGACTGTGGGCTAGCCAAGCACAAGTATTGCAACTCTACAAGATACTTCCGAGAATTCAACACTAAACCTTTCCTCCTGAAGTCGCGTATGGCGGACAGGTTCATAGTTCTTGATTGCAAGTTCTTTCAGTTCATGATTAGCTCGCTTTTAAGGTTTTCGACAAGATACGCTTTCCCATCCGTGATCTTCCAACGGAGTGGAGGGGAGGGTGGGGAGTGGGATAGGATTTAGTGTTTCCCATGTTTGTAAGGTTAAATTTGATTAGGGAGTATGAGATTTTGTACACTGCTTGCTTCTTCGTTTGGTATGTACATCTAACATGATGATGAACCAAATATCAATGAATATGTTTCTAACATTTTGAGTATTTTTTTCTCTGATCTCAGGTAAATTATATTTTTAAAGCTATTCATAGTCTTGACTTGATTCTATGATTATCTAGTTCGGACGGTTAATTTCAATATGAAGGTGATCATATTTACAATTATCATCCTCAATATCACACAAATCAAGTCAATTGATTGTTATGTACATGACTATGTATATTCTAAAAATAGATGCATAACATGCCTAATCTGATATTTTGAGAATGATTAACCTCAAAAGTATGTGGTTAATAGTTCATTGTGTCAAATTTGCAAATGGCTGGATTAGAAAATCATTCAAATGAGGCTGCACCATGAGTTATACCGTTCAATACGTCGCATCAACAGGAATGTGGTCTTCAAATTTCAAAAAGAGATGCCTACACGAGTCGTGTCATTGCTGTTGCATGCAGATTTTGTATCACATTTAATTGCGAGTGCAAAAACAATGTGAAACAGCCAGAAATGATCACTAAAAAGACGTTTGGTTCAACATTCTGCTCCGCAACCTATAGCATACATCACAAGAGGAAGCACTCACTACTTTGAGATGAGTATGCACCTCCGAAGTGTAATCATCTTTAGTTAGTAAAAAATACAATAAAGATTATTCAAGATTGAGTAGAATGGATGATAATGAAATATCCATAGTGTCATGCTAGCAATCCGGGTGCTAGTTGGTGTGTTAGTTGGAAATGACAGGTGATCAATTCGTGTGTTTTTTAATCAAAGAGTGGATGTGCTAGTTGGTGTGTAAGTTGGGAGTGACATGTTAGCAATCAGTGTGCTCTTTAGGTATATCTACCGTGTCATCAATTCACAAGGAGGGGATTGGATGATGGAAAGAATACCTTATCTTCATGTATGTGTTTGAAATATCTATAGAAGGAAGAGTTGAACCATTCAAGTTATATCATCTTTCGAGTTTATGCTTCATCTTTGGATAAATTTTTCTCTAAACCCTTGTGTTACACAAAATCATCATATCAAATAAATATTCAATCGTTGATTGATGAGTTAATGCTCACTATTGGTGCATATTGCAACTTTGACGTTGACAATCTGGACTAATTCACTCATGTCTTCTGCATTAATTGATCAGCTTTCTATATTTACATCACAAGCTTCATTGAATATCTTGGTTATTTTGCTTTGATGACGATCAACAGTCTCGTCAAACCAACTTAGGTGTTACTTCTTTGTGATGTTGCATTTTTTATGTTTGGCATTGTCAACGAATTTATGAATTGCATAGCAAGTCAAAATGAACCTACTCCAGCATCGAACTTGACTGTTCATTAGTGTATAATTTTGAACTAGTGAAGCTTAAGGTTCATTATATCAATCTCCTTGTCATGCAACAAAAGTTTTGTCTTGATTGTAGTTGGTACTCCTTTGATATTAACAAAATTGCACTCCAATTTGCAGAGCTTTGCACCATGTACAAGAATGTCTCAACATGTTAGGAAGCCATAAATTCTTGCGATCACAAGTATTTGTTTGAAGATGACTAGGCACTCTCTCTCTATTGGATCATTAAAATTTTCTGGTCAACTTTGTTACAGTCTTGAATTCACCGTTTCCCAACACACCGTTAATCTAAAGTTACTTCTTGATGTTGAAATTCTGTAAAATGTATTTAACATATCATTGACTGATTTTCTTTGGAAAGATTTCTCCAATGCAAACAACATGATCTTTTGCGCACAATAATCAATCACACATTTCTATATTACTTTTTTTAACATTTTGTTGATGGTGATGCATAATCATGACTAATCTGATTAGGCATGTGACTAATCTACAAAGGCTTGATTTTGAAAGTTGTGATTGAGTTTATTGATAATTTCCAACAAATTTTTACTCTTAGACTAAATTTTATATCAAATCTAAATGTGGCTGAGAGAATGTTCACATCATGTTTGTGACTTTTTGCATGTGACTTTTAGTATTAGTTGACAATATTATTGTAAATTCTTGATACAGTTGCTCCTTTGTTGATATAAATACCCTATTTTTTTTCTAGCCGGTAAATTTTACAATTTGGGTTTATTAATCATGCCATTAATTATTTAAACCAAAAAGAAGTAAATATACCTTTTTAGTCATTAATTTAGTCACATTTAAAATTTTTATGATTAATCTATGATCTTGATGTGAAAAATTTTCTATATTCATGAATTTTGGTTTTCGAATGTATCAAACTTCTCAAATGAAAAAATCAATTTTTTAATTTAATGAAGTTTAGCCTTGGTCTCATTTTTTCATCATCATGAAAAATGTCAATTAGAAAATTAAATCAATTTTTGATTAATATAATTCAAAATTATATAATAAAAATAAATTATCGTGTTATTTTGATTGCAACAAGGTATGTATGCTTGTTGCAAATGTCATATCTATTACAATAGATTGATGTTAAATATAATATGAAGATATGTATGATAGAAATATGTTTTACATACAAAAATTTAAAACACTAGAATTAGCTCTTTACTTAGAGATAAAAATTCAATTCATGTGTACATAAATCTTGAAGTGTTGGAATGCATCATATGAAATTTTCACTATTATATATATATATATATATATATTAAGATGATGATTTGAAATCTGATAACATGTCTAACTTATAGTGTCATTGATGTGAATTTTCTCTTCTGTATTTACTTTCATACAGGGTTTGACATTCCCCCGGGAATCCCCCGGGAATAGATAACTTACTTCCGGAACAGGGGGTGAAACAGGGGGACAACCGGAGGAATCCGCTGGTGCACTCTTGCTAAGAGGGGGCTACACCCGGAGGATTTTAAGGGTTAAACCCGGGGACACCCGTTGTAAATGTCATTTTATTGAAAATTTTTTGGGAGCATTCACACGAAAATAGCGGACTCAATAGCTTTCAATCCACTGAGAACACCCGGAAATTTTTTCCGAAAATATCCGGGCAACCCCGAGAAATCAAGAATGCTCTAGTCAGAACGTCGGGGCGTAGCCCCGGACGTTTTGTGGCGCATTTCCGGGGTCACCCGGTGGTTCTGAGCCATGCCTGTCAAACCCTGCTTTCATATAATGTCTAATGACATTAAATAGCACCACAGACATCCTGGAACTATCCTTATGCATTATATAGATCTGATTAGTTTTGAAATTAGGAAAATAATTATCTTATTCTATTTTATAGCTCAAATTTTTTTCTTCTTGTAATGTGTTTGACAAAATAAAAAAGATTATAGTGCATATGTAAAATTTGATTCAATCAATAGTAATTGTCTAACAAATCGTCAGTCACTCCATACATAATATTGATATTTTGTCATAACAAACACAGCATACATAATGATATAATGATTATAAATGATTTTATATTTAATTGTTTAGATTTGTATATTATTATGCTGAATATAAAAAATATCATATTTCCTACTTCAATTTACATATTGTTGATAAATGAAAAATTATATATAATAATAATTCAAGGAGAAATCTCATCAATAATAAAATAGTGAAGCAAGTGAAAAAATCACAATGAAGATTAGATCAAGCTCCAAAAACTAGTGTAGTGGTGAAAAAAATGAAAATTGAAAAAGGTCTATTTATTATAGATTAAAATTTATAAATTTAGTTCAATTGATATATAAGTTAAAAGATATATTATTTTATGTCATGGCTTTGAGGAAACAACTCTTCTCTACATTTGCTAAAAATGAAAAAAAGAATAAATCTGTTACTTGCATATTGATGAGAAGTAAACCACTGCAAAATCTACAATCACATTGAAGAAAAAGGTCAAAGTAAAAGTATTTCAACTAACCATCGATATTATATATTTTGCAAAATAACTTCAATCAGAATTATTCTTCAATTTGAGTTTTTTTTAAAGTCAACATTCATTTTTATTTATTATGTATTTCAAGAAGGATGAGATAGAGATGAATGTTCAAAGACACAATAATTAAGAATTTGGTTACAATACTTGCCGGTGAAGTAATCCAAAACTGGATTAATGTGATTTAGGGAAGGAATGTGTTGTGCGTTTCATATTATAAGAAATGCAACACAGGGCCAAACGAGTAGAAAAATTATCTTCGCAATGAGTCAGGAGGAATAAGCAGTATATATAACATGTGGCTAATGTAGTATTGTAGCATCCAAATGAATCTCCTTGTCAAGTACTAGAGACCAACTATTCAAGTCAGACCTGCTTATGTAAAGATACATGATGATTTAAAAAGGTGTATAAATTTGAACATTTTAGAAGATGATAATTTTTTTTACTCTACATTTATATCTGTAATAGAAAGATGATTGTAAAAAAGGATGTTCAATTTAGACTAATTGGTGAGTAATGCTATATAATGTTGTGTGAAAGGTGATGCATAGAGACCCTAAACCGTCGGATAAAGGTAACACCGAATAGCGCAGACGGGACTACTGGGTTGCCGTTGAATAACAACCGTGGTAGAGTTCGTGGGAGGCACGCGATCGCGGCCACGACACAGCCGCCCGCGGTTCAGTCGCATGCGCGTCTCGGGTTAGACAACGGAGTGGAAAACTCGGAGCGAGGTCCACGAAGGCGGAAAGCATGTCATTGGAAGCATCCGCCGGTGGAGACGGCGGTGCATGGGCATCGGTCTTTCCATGGCGGGCCCGCCCAATTCGACTGGCGAAATTACCACGGGCTCGTAAATTAGCAGATCCAGCTGCTTCCAGGAGAGCAAACAGGTCTCACTGTGATCGAACATGCGCCGCACGACCTTCGGTTCCAAGAATCGGGCTTACTGCGCTCTTCGTGTCAGATTTGGACATTCGTAGAACCTCGAAAATCAGGACAAACTACCGGGTTGGCTATAGTTAGAATTGCTTTGCTCGTTAAATCCTGGCAAGATTTTCTTTTAGAAGAGTGGGGACCAGGTCATACAGCAAGAGGACGGGAGGACCTATCGAGCCGTACCAGGATGAACTCACAACCAAAGTTCTCAGCTGGACTTGGGATCGAGGCATTGTCCTCTAAGCACGAGTCTGTACCAATATTGACGTATTTTGGACACTGGGGGTTTCAGGATAATACTTCATTGAAGCGGATGATGACGTCCCTCGCTTATGCTGGCGCTTGCGGAGCAAAAATCTCTGAAAATACTGTTCCCCCATCCTGATTCCTGAAAGTACCATGGTCGGCATCCAGGTACTTTCTCCGTCAGTTGTGTCGGCTGAAAGTCCCGGCAAGCTGTTTTCCAGAACTGAAATTCTACCAGTACAGTACATACACACTAGGGATTCACTTGCCGTCCAACAAGAAAAGATCGTGTTATCAACACCTGATTCCTCACTTGCTGAATAAATTCCGCTGGTTTGGGATGGATTTTTGGGTCTTTCAGGCCAGGCAGTAAATCCTGTGTACAGAGTTGTCTACCAGCTAATGACAGGACGAGTTTACGGTGTCGTTAGAAAACCACGCGAACTTTCGCAAACTGTTGTGCCGTATCAAACAGGGACAGTCAGGGAGGTAACATTCAGACTTGTAAGTCTGGATATGTACTCGAGCATGGTGTAAACGAAGAAGAGTTAAACTCCCAACCTACAGTTCATAGGGAGGCGTGTCCCTGAACTAAAGCCCTGAATTTTTCTACAGAAAATCGGAGCCATTCCCATGTTTTTAAACTGATAACCTTGTTGTGAGAGTCTTTCTCCTTCATCCCTTTTGCAACAACGGTTATTGGGGTTAAACCCTCTGATTTGAACATTTCTTCCCGATAGTGCTCCAGAAAGCCGACATACAGATTTTGGGACAATTTTCTTTCAAAAAGTAAATGTTCTGGTAGAAATAAGTACTTGAAAAATATTAGTAATAAGTGATACACGTCACTTGATAACGATCTTCACCCTTGAAAATGATCAAGAATTGATGGATACGTTTATGAGATCTTATGTTAAAATTTTTTTGAAGAAAAAAAAACTTAATATGTACATTTTAACAAAATCAATTAGGGCATTATCAACTTAAGTTTCAGCCTGAATCGATGCAGATTGTGTGGATCAGTTAATATGGGTTCGTTCCCGAATCATGAGCAGGAGACATGATATATGTGCATGTCGAAGTGTCGCAGAAAATTATGTACCTAGAAGATGACAGTATAATCAACTTCAACATTCGTGTCCCGCTTTCCAATAATTTTGGTCTCCCGCTATTACGGGAAAGTTTTATACATGTGCTCGATATGGGGCTTCATTGTCTTCTGCAGTTCAGCCCTAAAAGATTTGTGGGAACAGGGTGTGGGTATAATGAGAGTAGCTCAATTCCGGCTGGTTTTTGGGATCTAAAGTGAAACCTCCTTAGTTTCAAGGTAGAAATAAAAGCTAAAGCGAACCCTTTCCTTCTATGTCCAGCTTTTTACTTCATAATGATGGTGACAGCATGGTTCTTTATTTCCCTTAAATATGCAGCCCTGTTGGAGAAGTTTTTTAGAGTGCCCTTTTTGATCTCTTCCCCTTTGTTCCTTAGGATTGATGGATCTTCTTTAATTTCCAGGTCTATACTTCATTGATGATGTCCTCGTGGATCTATGAACGAGGCTTTTGATACGCTCTTGAAATATTTCATTAACTAATAAAAGATGTGACTCTTGTTATCAAAAATCTTTGGAGATAACATATATATAACATAACATTTTTTCTCCATATAATACGTGAGATATTCTGCTAATTGATGTACTTGGATACTGGGATATAATGTTAACCTCTTTATTAGACAGTATTCTCGTAGGTGCAGTGAAATGTAGTTTACTATATTGGTGATAGCCCCATCCCCTACTTGCTTTTATATCTTTTAACACTTGATGGGGTAATCTCATCTGTTTGCTATATGACTCGTAATTCTTCATTCATTCATTGCTCCTCTTTGCAGAACGGTATAGTATGACAGGCAGTGGATCACCGATCTATAAAGCCTCGAGAGCATAGGGCAATCATTATGGAGACTCTATCAGCAGATTTTTCCGCTGTTTAACATCTGGGGAATCATTCTGATCAACGTGATGGTACAGGCAGGGTTCGAAACTTGGTGTGCGGCATATTGTTGGGGTTCCCCATCGCCTTTGTCACTCATGTTGTGTTTTCTACGTTTATGAACTGTAATGCAGAAGCAACAAAGCGGTACGCATGGACTCATTCATAATCATGCATTGGAATTATGCAGAATATGTCAGTCATGGCAGGGGCCACACCGAGTGCACTTTTGCCATTGAGAATGGAAAGGACGGTGACAAAGTTCCCGGACGACGGCTGCAGGCCCGTACTGTACCAAGGTCCTAAAGGACGGAAACGTTGGAGAGAGCAGCCATTGGAGTAAAGCCACTGGAGATGGCTTCCGCCGAAGGTTCTCCTGTCCTTGCCTTCGAGTCCAAGCTGCGAAATTCTCTTGCCCTCTTTTAGTTCGGGCCGAGCAATAGTGGCGACGGTTTGGAACCGGGGTTAACTGGTGTAGCCTGACCACACCACCAGCTAACCCGGAAAAAATATGACTCCACCAGTTAACCCAAAGGCCAAGACCGGCGGTACTGCCGGGCTAACTTCTGGCTATTGCTCGCCCTATATACACGGGCGGTTCCCAGCAGGCAGGAACCTTGAATTCAATACACGTGGAGCATTAACTCCGTATTCGCAAAGACGCAGAGATGGATGGCGTACGAGAACTCCGTCACCCTGACCCCGAGGCCGGCACGTGGGTAACTTTCTCCGCGACCCGGTAATTTGCTCAACGATATTTCTCTGGCACGAAGTTTCCACGCGTACGAGAGCCGTCGGATTTCGATCCCACCGCTCAGCTCGGATAAGCCGGATTCAGGCCTGGTGGAACCGGCAGTGGTCGGTAAGACTGGAATCAAGAATGATTCCTCGCGCAGGAGAATGCGAATCGAGACCCCGGCATGCCAGCCGTCGGATCTGTGCGTAGACGGCAGAGATCGGATAAGACGTCCCTCCCCTCGGAGTGAAGGACTTACCACGTCACCGGAGCAGCGCCAGGGGAGTTACGGGGCTGGCAGGCTGGCTGACGCGGAGGCAGACCGACAGGGCAGAAGACAGACAGAAAGCAGGAAGGGAAGGGCGAGGCGGACGAGAGAAAAGAGGAGCGGGGCCGCGGGGCGAGCGAGGGAGGGAGGGAGGGAGGGAGGAAGATCGACAGGGAGGGTGGTGGCAAGCGAGGGAGCGAGCGAGCGAGGAGACGGAGGGAGGGGGCAGGAGGAGAGTGTGCAGGAAAGGGAGCTGCGTATGAAAGAGAATGGTAGTTATAGATTTTTGTTGTTGCTCTCTGTGTTTTCGGGGCGCCGATTTGATCGGCAGGCAGCCGGGTGGGTGTCGTGGCCAGTTGCTGACTGACTGCATCACGCCGGGGAGTGGGATTGTTGCTGTTGCGGAGTAGGAGGCCGAATGAAGCAGGAAAAAGCGGGAGCAGCAGGACAGGGACCAGTGCGGCAGCAACATTGGGTTGGGAGCGAATTCTTCCTAGAGTTGGTTGTGTGGTGAGCACACTAGAAAATTTCCGGTCACAGCAGATTACGGAGGAGCGGCAAGAATCAGGATTGTGACTAGGCTGCTGTTGTTGCTATTCGCCGGGTCGTCTTCTTTTGTCGTGCGCGCGGAAGCAGACGGGGCGTGGTGCTGCTGCAATTCGCATTCGGCAGGCACGGATTGGAATTCCCCGGCAAGATCATTCATATTGAGGCGTTTTGTAGCGTTTTAGCTTGGCGGCGTCATTGCACCTGGATTAGTGCAGGCGAGGTTATCGAACTTTGACGCCGCTGGTTTTTTTCGCTGATAGGTGGTTCGGATCCTGCGAGTTCCACTTCTTTCCAGCTTTGATCGTCGTAGTCTTTTTTCTACGCAGGGTTTAGTTTATTGGTCTCGACGAACAGGATAGAAATTGCGTAATTGAATCCAGGTTCAGCAGTAAGCCAAGCAGGCGGCAATCATGAACGATCTTTTAGGGGTATGTGCTCCTCTCGAGTCGTCCTTATGAATTCTGATTCTAATCATTAGCATTGAGAGCTCAGTCGCACCGAAGGATTCAGGCGATATTCAACGAAAGCCAGCTTACGAGTGGTTCCCTCGTCAGCTTTAGGGTATTGAAGTCTGGTCTGAAAGTGACGGGAGAAGAGCGGGATATGAAGTAATCGTTAGATTAAATTCTCACAGGACAGGCAGGGATAATGTACAAGCTGGAAGCCAGACCTCCTTTCAAACTCTATTTGAGCTTTAACTTGAGACTAGGCCGATGTCTTGTGCTGTCCCGGATGCGTATCTACAGGAAGGAGAATGATTTTGATTTAAATTGTGCATGCAGGAGTCCGGTCGCCACTCGACTTCAGCTCAAGACGTTACCGGGAACGGTAGAGAGAAAAATGGCAAGGATAATAATGATCTTGAGGCAGGACCATCTGGAACGCCGGATGGTGGAGCAGACATGCTTCAGTTTTTCAACGAGGTGCGTCCAAACGCCTGCCCCATGTCGGTAGTTGTGTGGGAAGCCTCGCTTTTGTCGCTGATCGCAGTAATGAGGAGGAACAAGAGCGATCCGCTGTTCTCTAGTATTGTCTTTTAGAACCTAGTCCTCGAGTATAACGTTGTGATCTGTTCTTCTGCCGACAATCTCTTCACGAAGGTCATGTCAGTCTCCCGAATAGCGTGTGCTTTCTAATTTGTAGTTTCTTTCTTCTCACCACAGCGTTTTTTGCGTTTGACAGGTCGGTGTCATTAAGACTGACATGGCACAGATTCGAAAAAACTTGGCCAAGCTTCAGGTTGGTTATTCTTTAAGAACCATACACGTGGCTTTTCCGGACTTTAATGTCGCAGTTCTAGTTTTCCTGGGATGTGCTTTGACGGTGATAATTTTTTTTTTTTTAATCAGAACGAATCACATGACATTTTCTCTCGTGAATATGCATCATGTCAAGACTTGTCTGGCATGATGCGTATGGGCTCACAAATTGTGTGGTATTGGTATGTAGGATGCTCACGAGGAGACTAAAACAGTCACAAACGCCAAGGCTATGAAAGGTTGGTAGCAAGTCTGCTTCTAATTTTTATTAAGTGGTGTATAAATTTCTCACAATGAAAGCAATATACGACTGCGTGTCCATCAAATTTTATTGATAGCGTGGGATTAGTCTGTCATCGTCCTCGTGTTTCTGAAGGAGTTTTTAAAACAAGATTTGACTGTTTATCTAGCCTTGAAAGAGCGAATGGAGAAGGACATTGATGAAGTGAGCAAAGTCGCACAACACATTAAAGGGAAAATTGAAGCTCTTGATAAATCGGTACGTAAAATACCATTTGCATTCAGCAACTACAAGGCCCTAATGATGAGTCTTTTTAAGCGAAGAATGTGAACTTAATGTTTTTTTTCTTATGACATGGTACTCTATGTATGTTGCAGAATATAGCAAACCGGAAGAAACCAAACTGCGGTGAGGGCTCAAGTACAGATCGCACTCGGATGTCGATGACTGCGTACGTGCTCGTCACATGTCCTTTGTCCTTGATTGGCCACGTAAAATATGGCTGTGAAATCGAGTTTGCTTGTATGATTTTTATACTTCTCTGTTGATTCAGAATTCTTTTCCTTCAGGTATGCATAGCCAACCGTGTAGAGGTCTCTTTACTAGTATCTGTTCTTGATCATTGTTGTCCATTGATTGGTTGGTCTCCTTCATACTTAAAAGGGACGTAGTTCATTTTGAAGTCGTCAGTCTGTTTTCAAACAGCTGCTAATGAACAAATTGATTGTTTACATACTTGATTGTCACATCTGGCTAGCTTATGAATTCCTTACCTTAAGTATGAACTCGTGCCTCATCCTTTCATCCTAATTGCATATGTGCCAATAACTGCCTTCAGCTAACGAGGCAAATGCTTGCTTGTCATGCGAATTGCAGGACCTTGAAAAAGAAGCTGAAAGAGCTGATGACTGAATTTCAGGCAAGCAATAAAATACAAGACCCATGTAGGGGAGCCTTAGGAAGAAGTACCAGACACAGAAAGAAATATATGCGGATTTGTTTCAACTTCTGTTATCTGCCTAGACGGAATGCATTGTGGTCAGGTTTTGTAGCACCAGCACTGCTCCACATTAATTTGTTCTTTTATAATGGCTTGGGTCCCACAGGCATTGAGGCAGAAGTTCACTGACGAATACCGCGAAGTGGTAGAAAGACGTGTTTTTACAGGTACTAGTTCTTTACTCTTTGATCGGTTTCATTGGTTGCCCCTTGAGGTTACTTGTGCTTCCCTTGTCGTTTGATCTTGCATACTGGTATTTGAAAAGTTTGGGGAGGGAACTTTGAAAGCAATTCCTTGTACAATGCATGATTTCTAAGTGTAATGCATATTACGCTCACCTTCCCACCTTATTGTCTCTGAACCTCAACCTAAACTCTGCAAGTGATTTGTGAAGAATCTACTTAAGAAAATGGTTAATCGCCGACACTTGATTACACGTTGTTCTCAGCTTGACATGACTCTGATCCTTTTTGACATCTGCTTGTGTGTAATGGACAGTAACTGGACAGAAGGCTGATGAAGGGGTAAGTAAATTTGTAACCATACAATCCCTAAAGATGGCAATGACAGATGGTTTTTCTAACATATCATGTAGTTATCTAGCTGAATTCGAGTTGAAGCTTGGTTCAAAGTAGGGAGTCCTACACCGAGATTTCTGCTCTGGAACTCAGGAGTATTGCTCAGAATCTACCTGAGGGTTAGATTGTCTGTGAGCAAGCCATGGCAAGAGAGTGTACAGGACCTGCTGTGGTAGGGCAGACAACAGTTTCGTCGAGTACAGAAACGGGCAGTTCATGATTGTGGTTCCGCTTTGTGGACTGCAGACCATTGACCAGCTGATAGAAACTGGGGATAGTGAACAAATTTTTCAGAAGGCCATTCAAGAACAAGGGCGAGGCCAGGTGAGCAGGTTTAATTTTACCAGACAGCTCTTTGGTGTAAAATTCTTAGATTTAGATAGAGTTTTATCCTGCTTTGCTAACGTGGTGCGGTCCTGTAGATTTTGGACACAATTGCTGAAATTCAAGAGCGACATGATGCCGTGAAGGATATCGAGAAGAAACTTCTGGAACTACACCAGGTGCATATATATGACTTAACTCTTGATATGTGCCAATAGTTTTAGCATAATTTTGCAGGGATCAATTAAATTCAAGTATTTGGAGGGAGATTTACTTCTGGTTGTTTCGTTGTACAGATATTTTTGGATATGGCCGTACTAGTTGAGGCACAGGGAGAGCTGCTCGACAATATCGAAACTCAGGTGTGCTGTCACATATCTATTTTTTCTTCAGCTTATCATGCACTACATATGGGCCTTTTTTATGTTATGTTTTTGTCGCTATTTTTAAATAGTAATAAGCTTACACTGCGTCGAAAATCTTCCTTTGGGGAATAGATGGATTCTGCCCTACAGCCCCTTTGCAGATATGTTACCTTCTAACCTACGAGCAATCGATTGTACCTTCGAATGTTATACTTAAACGCGACTGTAAGTGGCATCTGAAGGACAGGAAGCCCATATACAAATGTGATAACTATTTCTCATTTAGACATTTTGTTGACAAGCAGACATGGTATCGTTCTATTGCGTATGCAGGTATCAAAAGCCGTGACATATGTCCAAGAGGGTACAGTTGCGTTGCAGACAGCCAAGAAGCTGCAAAGAGGCACCCGGAAGTGCATGTGTATTGCAATTATATTGTTACTTATCATCATCATCATCATAGTCGTTGCGGTCGTTCAGCCTTGGAAAACAAACAAAGCATGATAAAGCTCTGGGAGTTTGTATCCTGTGTTTGAAATTGCTATCGGCCCATCTTGTATCTCATTCGGTTGGGTGTACAGAATTCTCGTGTTGGAAATTTTCGAGTTTACTAACCTGCAGAAAATGCTATGTTATTTTCTTTATCTTCCTCATGAGGTTGGTTTTGACAGGTTGGGCTTTTAGGTTGGATGGTATTTGAATGTAGATCTTCCGGGAGGCATTCATTGTAAAGGAAATTGCCCATGTAAAGCATAAGGAATAGCGCATGGGCAGTCGATTCTTTAATAAAGTGTATCAAATTATTCTTTCCACCATATCAAACGATATATGGTGTAAACTCAGGTGTTGGATAAATTAACCGCCCAGGTCTGCAATGTAGAACTTTACTGTAAGACGAGGACATTTGGCGCTGATTTTTTCACACAGCTATTCTGTTTCAAAGGCAATTTCCTCCATATTTGGAAACTCATCAAGATTCTCTTGAGTCCAAAGGATACCATTGTATGCATCATCCTGATCTTGGATAATTGTACCTTGTTGGATTAACTGATGCGTACAGTCGATTTAAGAACTCCATGTCATAGCAATTACCCATATATTTGCAAATGATTCGTTCATGATATAGTTTTCTTACTATCTTGAAATCATGATGGTCATTGCTTGTAGGTAGTCTCAATATTCATCATATAATGATCAATTTTCCTTTGGGCAGGGAGTATGAGAACTCTATCTCCTGGTTCATATAAAAGAAACATTCCTATTAACAATAACTATCAGATCTCATAGTATATAATCTTATATACCATTAGCACATCCAAAAAATATGATGTTTCTTGTGTGTATGACATAAATTGGTTCTACTCTCAGGTATAAGAAGATTTGGATCTCATAGCTTATTATCTTTCATGCCACTAGTATATTCAAAGAAATTACATGTCTTGGATGTAAGATATAATTTGGTCCTATTATCTTTAGGTATAGGAAGATAAATCATAGAACCAAAAAATTTCTAAAGACTAGAACCAGTGATAGATTCGTTATGGTTCAGTGTCAAACGATGGCAAGAGATTTACTAACCACACTGCGGTTACGAAAGTTTCAGTCCAAAATTCATATGGTAAATCAGATTGACTCAACATCATGCACATTTTTTAATATTTGTTGTGTAGTATAAATTGTGGTGAGATGACGAGTAATACTCTACTCCTTGCAGTAATTTCAAAACCCTCGGAAGTATACTTTCCCGTTAGAGAAATAAATATCTCACCTTGTTCAGTCAGAAGTACTTTTCCCGTCATTATTCGACTATAAATATCTCACCTTGTCCAATTTGAATCTCAATTTGGGCTTTCCAACTCTTAAAAGATGTGAGTAAATAAACTAACACAAACTTTGAATAATTGTCATAAAATGTACATGGTAAAAATTCTCAAAGTGAGTGGTTCTTGGAAAGTATCTCCACATGTCACTATGTACATACTCAAGTAATTACTTTCAACTGTGAATTCTAACACCAAAGTCTTTTATATGTTGCTTTGCCATCAGATACCATTTTTTATCAAGACATCCTTCTCTTAGTCTTGGGCCACATTAACAAAAAAAAATCAACATCTTTGGTTTCACCCGGTAGTTCTTCTTGACCTTGTCACATCTCTAACATCCATTGTCTTATTCTCTAGGATTTTACTCCTAGACTTTGATTTATCTTTAGATCCAACTTGCTTATTATACTTAAATGACAAAGCATTAAGCATTATAAATAATCTTCTCACGCTTGAGAACCATCTTCATCATAGATCCCTAGATTGAAGTTTCGCTGACAAATGCATCAGCGTCTCACAGACCGGTCGAGGTTGATGCTCCATACATGTGTATAAGGTGTTTTCCAGTGATATGGAGTCAATTGATCAATAACTCACCCGCAAGTTGTGCACATGGTTTTCTTCCTAGTCCAACTTGTTGTCACATCAAGCCAAAACTTGAGAAAAAGCTCATACACAATTACCTCCGGAACTCAATCATGACCACGGGGCCTCTTTGGAATCCTCCCCACTCTTTGGAATTTAGTAAAGTGCTCTCTCTATAGTTGACAGGTTCCATTCCTTCCCTTTCAGGAACTCTTCGGTCTTCTACGCAATGATACAAGTTGGTCCGATCCCTCTATTAGCCAAAGAACCATCCAAAACCTTTGAAGAACTGGGATGCCTTCACAAGCCTCGATATCCTACCGCTTGATGATAGTGAAGGTCGTCAAATCTGATATTAAACTTCCAGTCTATAGATTAGCTCCCACCAAAGCCATACTATGCACAGAGGGTTCAAATCTGACATTAAACTTGCAGTACATATGGTACCTCCTGCCAAAGCCACGTTCTTTATTTGGAACTAGCTCTATACCACTAGTTTGATTTCATAAGTTCATGACATATTGCATGGTGTATTACCATCCCTATTGCAACATTTGTCACGTTACCATTCAATCGAAGTGTTTGTGTAACTTATTTATGAGGTACAAAAATTTAAGCAACCATCCTTATATATATACAATTATATACATCAACTCAAATACTTTTCAAATTCTGATCTGTGTGGATTTTATCTAGGTATTAAATTTTTAGGCTTTTAAAAAAGAAGAATCAAGTAAGTAATTGGACTCATCAACTTACTTAGTTGTCAATGAGTCCAACCTTGAATCACCTTACTCAATTTTAAAGTAAGACATTATTAATATGTGGTGATAAAATGCATGAGCATTACGTAGGTTGGATCTAAATGTTCGTTAAAATTATTTTTTCTTACCTAATTAACATGCATCTTATGATTTATAATTTAATGTGAATATTTCTAGAGAAGACAAACCAACTGCATCAATATAGTTTCATAACTCTATACCTTGATCATTAAGAAGTTAATTGATTCAGCACCATCAAGATCATAGAACTAATTCTGGAAATCACACAAGGCTTCAAATGAATTTGATTACAAAGTCAATTGGTAAATTATTCTACAGACTAAAATTTAATTTAACATAGGTATGTATTGAGTAAGAGATGAGTATCATAAACTTGTCATTCATAGAAGCTTGAGTTTTTATGAGCTCTAGATCATGTGCATGCAATATCTTTTTACCTAGTTAGTTTTTATATCTAAGTTACATGATGAAATATACTAGATGCTCATGGCAACTAGCTTTATATAACCAGTTGATTTTATGTATTCAATAACATGTAACAAAAGGTATCGGATGTTATCATCTCTTTCATATGAAAATCTTTGTGTAGTCTATGAAAATGTAGCAAAAGGTATAGGATATTATCATCCCTTTTATATGAAAATCTTTGTGTAGTTTATGAAAATGTAGCAAAAGGTATAGGATATTATCATACCTTTTAAATGAAAATCTTTGTGTAGTTTATGAAAGCTTAATTGTTGTTATGGCCGCATCCATCATCAAAATATGGGAAGGTAAATACAAGGCTTTGGCGCAACCACATCTTGGCAACTCGGCGATTCGACAACTGCTTGTTTGCACGTCGCCAACAGAAGAAGAAAATCTCCAATGTCCTGTAACGGTAAATCTTAGACTGAGCAAACCAACAACACGATAAACACATAAGACACAAGTATAACATGCTTCACCCTCAAGGGCTACATCCACGGAGTAATACGCTCGAGAAAGTTTACTGCTTGAAGTGAGAACTTCTTATCATCATTAGGGTATATGTACCCAATGTAGTCAATCACTCTAAGCTATAAATAGCTACATATGCGGCTAACCTCAATTAACTCTTTAACCAGAGTTAACCTCAACAATCTTCCTCTTAATTCGTGTTAAGGAGTCTTAGTAAACTCTCTAGCCTATATTATCACTCAGCGGAAAGTTCTAGATGGAATCTTGACTCAAGGTCCCTCTATAAACGAGAATTAACTAGAACTAATCCGTAGCCATAACAGGATAGAGTAATAATATACAGAGGTAACTCAACAATCTCATCTTAAAGCTTGTCAAGGAATTGTAATGACAAATAAATACCAAAATGGAGCATAATGGTATAGATCCGATCCCACGAGGACAGAAACAAACACAAAAGTCACGATTTGTCACAAGATAGCATTCTATTACGAAGTTTTACTTCTTGGGCCAATGCTACTCCCAGAAGACACTACTCACCTAGAGCCGAAGACTCAGAGGGTAGTGCAAAACCGTATTCATAACCTGAACCTTTTCCAATCAAAACCTGTGAGAATCGCAAGCGATCCCACACTTATATTTCAGGGGGAAAACTTCCCAGCACTGCATACATCTCAACACAATGATCCGAATACTCAGATCTGAACTTGCTTAAATTCCGCAGTAACCCCAGGCTACCCAAGAAATCCAAGCTGAATACTCACAACTCCTGATGCGGTAACTTCGACAACCAAGAGCGCCCTGTGCTCAATGTCTAGATCACACACCAGCACATAGACACACAGCGAAGACAGAATGACAGTTGAGACAAGCCAATAGACAGAAAAACCCTCCAAGGAAAGGGCCTTGGGCCTCTTTATTCACAATGGCAAATCTGGGATATCAACCGCCTGAGGCGAATCAGCCTCAGGGACTGTGCCGTCCGATGTATTGGTTACAGCATCGTTTGAACTACTCTCTACTCCTAATCTACGCAACACGTTTACAATCTCTACTTCTACATTCTGGCGCGCCTCATTCAATTCCTCTGAAAATGAATTAACTAACTCTACAATCTGTTTGTGCCCTACGGATCCGCTGGTCTTCGCGCTCATCAGCCGTCGCTCGAGTAGATCTAGCTTCAACCACTTCACCGATCGCGAACCCGTTCATGCACTTCTCTAACCGCAATCTCAACATGTCGATTGAATCCTCCCGCAGTTGACGGTAGGAATGCTCTGCCTTTTCCATTCTCCTTTGCGACTCTTCCGATCTCATCTCCGCTTTCCCTAACTGCTCCCGTAACCGTCGACAGTCAGATTCAATCTTTAATCTACATTCGACCTCCGAAGACTTGGCCGACTCGCAATCTGCCAATTTCTTGGCCCAATCCACTAACTCCTCCTCATGCTTCTGGTTTCCCGCCGACAGTCTTGCTGATAGCTCCTCCGCACGTCGGAATTCCATCTCATACTTCGCTTCAATCTCAGAGATTTTCCTACGAAGATCTTCCTCCGCCGTCTTCGTATCGGCGAGCTTGCCCCGAAGTTCTTCGGCGATACGAGCTTCTTCGGCTCTTCGAGCTTCCAACTTAGCAAGTTCCTCGATGTGCATCTTCTCTCGCTTCTCCGCTGTAATGATCAGCCGCGCCGATCTTTTGCTTGCCGCCTCGTAAGCTTCCCTGGATTTCACCAGTCTCGCTACCAAATCCACTGTTACCTTCTGGACATTCTCATTGGAGATACGAAGTCCTCTACAGGCCTCCTCC